GGAACCGGCACGGCGAGGTACAGGGCGGGCCGTTCTTCACTCATGCCTCTGTTCTAGAATCTTAGGAAGAAGCTCTTAGGACGGCCACGAATCAAAGAAATATTTTATAAAATTCTGCTCAAAATATGTATATTCTCCCCACTCCTTTTTTTCTGCTGGGAATTCTCTCTGGCTTTGAACAATTATACCTTTCAAAAACTTGCAACCGAACTGCTTTGCTTTTGGTCCTCAGAGGAAACTATAGACTCTGAAGACCCCACCCCATCCCACACAATCTGATGCCAGCAAGTTATAGCCCACTCCCCCAGGTGGAATCAGCAGCAACCAGCCCCGAGCTACACAGAAAGGGTGAAGACTAGATCCAAAGGAGGGGTCCCTGTTGCACAGTGAGCACATCTTTAGGTCCCTGAATCTTAAATAAAATTAGCAGTCTTTTGAGGGCCCCGCTGGCTGGCCGTCCCTTGTGGGGCTCCCCTGGCTCCTGAGCCATAGCATTCAGTTTTGCTTCACCTGGTCCCTGGCAACACTTTCCAAAATGCAATGTATATACTGGGAGCTTTCCCCAGGCTACTAGAGGAAATGCTTTCAAATGAAGTAGCAGACTTTATGCTCTTTATTATCTCAAGTCACCTTCTAAGGCATGTTTTGGTGTCAGCTCATGTGTTGGAGAAACTGCGACAGCAAACTCATTTACTAAGTGCGCTACACTTTAAAAATGTACATTTTATATTAATAAATCAAACCAGTCCACGTCACAAGGTATTTCTTTAAGTGAGGCTACTCGTTTTTCTGTCTGCAGTCCTCCACAAAGAAAAGACCTCACCATGTACTCAGTTACTCCCCATCCCACCTGTAGATGTGAGCTGTCCTCAATTCTCATACGTAATTCAAAAAGAAAGTCATATACCAAGTGCCTGCACCACTCAGAATGAAAAGGGAGAAAAGAAGACATGAAAGGGGAGGAGAAAGAGACACAGACGGACAGAGAGGGAGAGAGAGATGGAACCAGAACGTTATAAATAAAAAGGAGACAGTGATGGCTCAGAGAGAAACCTACTTCAGAGAGGCAGCAAAAAATAAGATGTTTAGGCTGTCTGAATGTTTCATGAACCTGTGAAAATAACGTGCTGCTTTATGAAAGAACGTGGGGAGACATTGCAGCTAATCAAAAAGATGTAGGTGCAAATGGGATGTGTTTATAAAGCCGGTATTGCGTGCAGAAGAAAAAGCCTGCTGCAGGCGGGGATTTAGGGAAAGGCAGGTGCCCGTGGAGGAGCATAGCATCTCTGTTCAAGGGAGGAAGTTTCAGGATGGTTTTTCCCCTTCACTTGTTTAAAAACAAAAAATTCCTCACCAAATGTCAGCTGTGAGTCAGGTTCCATTTGTCTTTATAACAAAGTATCAAGCAGGAGTGTGGAAATAAATAAACACAGAGAGACAACTAGGACCAAAAAGACCAAAATTGCAGGCACATGAATGGGCTAGAGGACATAAACTCCACACCACAACCGCTGTAAAAGAGCGTTTCAATTTCATGTTCACTGTCACTCCAGGCTCAATGAGATGCTTCTCCTTGCGTGGCTCCTCCAGGCTCCTTACATTGCCCCTCACCCCACACACCACCACTCTGACACGTCCAGGTGGGAGAGGTGCTTCCTTCCCCTTTACATTCCTTCACTCCTAATTCCACAAGCAGGCATCAAATAAAGCCACGTGCCCAGGAGGAAGTGGGGATAAATCAACCAGTGTCTCTGTCCTTAGGAGCAAGGTGCCTCCAACTTCTACACATCACAGAACAAAGGGGCCTGGCACCATGGTTGAATGTGAGTGAGGGGCTGTAAAGAAGACTGTAGGGTAGAGGCAGCACCCAAGCTGGACCAGGCTGGCCAAGGATCAATCCAGACCTGGGGCTGGCATTTTCTCCGGCCAATACCATGCCCAGTCCACCCCCAAATACCAAAGAGCTCCATAATTTCTCTCCAGTTTTTGGAAGCCGTTTCTTTGAGCCGTTGGTAGAGCTCAAAGCTTAGCAAGTAGCAAGAACATAACAGAGGCCCACTCTAGAGTGGTACCCAGGAGTCCTCCTATCTGCCTCCTTCCTAAATCTGCCTCTTGGCTGGCATTGGGTTAACCCTTCCCCCCAGCAGGGTGAAGAGAGCCACTGCCACGGCAGCGCCCCCAGCGGCCCCAGGACAGCCTCCTCAGGGTGGAGGGCACCAGAGCAGGCTGCAGGCCCTGGCCCTGTCCTTGGTGCTGCCGCCGGCTGCGCCCCCTGTGGCAGGGGCCACCCAGGACTCAGCCTTCCCTCCAGCCTGGCCTCTGGTACCTGCGGAAAGACCATGAATACACCCGGACCAGCTTCCACTCCTCTCCCAGGGCACTGGACAGGAGGCATTTGCAATGAAGGCCCAGCATAGCGAGGGCCTGGCCTGTGGGGACTTTCCTGGACTCCAGTTTCCCCAGGTGACCTAAGGCTACCAAGGCCCGAGCATGGACTCAGTTCTCTCTAAGCTCAGGCCCCTGGAGGGGGGATCTGAGCAATCATTCGAGTCCTCTTTTAACGGAGGAGGGGATTGCTGTTGGAAATGGGCAAGTGGTGCCAAAAAAGCCCAGCAGCTCCAGCACAGACAGCCCACATGACCCTGGCAAACCCCCTCCTTGGTTTCCAGCTGCCTCACCAGGCCCCGAGCACCGGACACTCCACTCTAGCTTCTGCTCTCTAACCCCTCTGACCTTCTCACCTCATTCTCCAGGGGCTGCTCTACCCTCTCAGAAGCTCCCGGCTGGGAAATGAGGAGTTAAGCACTGCTTCCAGGGGAGTGTGCCTGTGAGCCCGGTGCCCACACAGGGAGGCCTCTAGTCTCTGGGGAGGGACGGGGGTGGCAACGTCCATCCTCAGGGCATAACGGAGCTCTGAGCCCCAAGGTGGAGATGGGGACTGTGGGACAAGCCCCGGACACTCCACTCTAGCTTCTGCTCTCTAACCCCTCTGACCTTCTCACCTCATTCTCCAGGGGCTGCTCTACCCTCTCAGAAGCTCCCGACTGGGAAATGAGGAGTTAAGCACTGCTTCCAGGAGAGTGTGCCTGTGAGCCCGGTGCCCACACAGGGAGGCCTCTAGTCTCTGGGGAGGGACAGGGGTGGCAACGTCCATCCTCAGGGCATAACGGAGCTCTGAGCCCCAAGGTGGAGATGGGGAATGCTCTTCGGTCCTGAGAGAGGCCCCGACCTGCCTGCATCCCAGTTCCATCAGGCTGCACTTTCATTGTAACTTTTCTCCCTCTCTCCCTTCACAATCTTCCCTCACCTGGAGGGTCTGGTTTTAATTAGTGCAATATACCCGTTAACAATGCAGCCTAATTAAGACATCCGCCCAATTCCGAGATGCACACTTAATGAGCAGGTTCTGCCGCAATGTTTATACTTTTATTATGATTATTTGCAGACCGGTAAAACCAAAGCCGCTTCCGGCTGATAGACCTCATACCGACGACCCCACTCCATTAGCCTCCTACCTGCTCTGTACTAAATGCCCCTGGCTCCCGGTCGCGCGCCCAGGGCGTCCCCCGAGCCGAACGGGTTTCAGCTGGAAATTAGTGGCCGGGCGCGCGGGAGAAGCGACCTCACCCCCAGCTGAGGTGTAGGGCTGAGTCCCTCCGTCCCCGTCCTTCTCCTCCACCGAGGGATGTCTCGTGCATCAGCGTGAGCGGCACCGCGGGCGTCCTTTTTAAAGTGACCATTAAAGAATAAATCCAGTCCCTCCCCAAAGCTGGAGAGCTCCGTCAGAAAGGAGTTTTTCCTCACCCTCGGTGGACCCCGCGGCCGCTGGAGGAGCTGAAATCCTGGACTCCTAGTAAATCCCTCCTACCCTATGTGAGACCTCGGATCCTGGGGCCGCTCTGGGACGGCTTGGGGTCCCAATGTCCCTTCACGCCCCGCGCCGCTTCCTCGTCCCCGCGCGAACCCGGTGAGGGCCCCCGGCAGCCCAAGCACTGCGGGGATGCAAAACCGGAGAGGCTCCGCGCTGGGGGAGGCTGCGTCAGCCCGAGGTGCCGCCAGAGACAGCCCTCCCGAGGGGGCGAGCCCTGGACGCCTCCCCGGCGAGTCTCGCCACCTCTGAGACCACTGGGACAGAAAGTTTGGACCGGGTGTGCCTGACCGCCTTCGCGCCAGCTTCCCTCAGCCAGGCTGCGCCAGCCCCTGGGGACGGCCAAGCCTCGGAGGAACAGCCTGGGTTCACGCCCGAGTCTCCCTGACTCCCGAGACTCTGCGGGGAGCGCCCCCAACCCGCCGCCTGGAGGGCCCTGCGAGCGGCTCGCCCCCTGCCGCTTCACACCCGCGCATAGCGCGGCGCTGCGGGCCCGGGGCCTCTCTACGGAACCGTGGGAGACCCTTCCTCCCCACAACTCTTTTGGGTCATCAACTCCTCCAGTGAACCCTTCTCCTCGAGGACTCAGGCAGGGTTCCCAGGGACTGGGTGCCCAGGGGTCGCTCCCACCCGCTCAGGTTCCAGCTCCGTACCCCCGGACGCGCCCCGCGGGGCCGGGATCTCCTCCCGCTCAGCCTCCCCCCGCCAGGGAGTTCCCCGCGCCGGGCATTGTGCCGCTACCGCCGCCGCCGCCACCGCCTCCACGACCGCGGGACTCCCCGGCGTCTCCCTGGAGCCCGACCCCGGGGCCTTCCAATTCACAAAATCGCCCCTCCGGCCGCGGGCTGGACCACGTGCCGCGCGACCTGAGCCCAGGAGGGAACCCAGAGAGCCCCGAGCCCGCGGGGAGACCCCTGACCCCGAGGGCGCCACCCCTCCCCTAGCGCCCGCGGGTCGCTCCCCGTCCGCGCTCTGCAACCCCGCGCCCCCACCAGCCCCGCCTCCCCCTGCGGGGTCCGGTGCGCCCCTCCCCGGGACGTGCCCACCCCCACCCCCGAGCCCAGCCCGCTCAGCGGGAAGGTAACGGCCACCGCAGGGGCGAAGAGCGGGCGGCGGGGGCTAGGTTACTCACGGGCTCAGCGCTCCCCGCGGCAGGTGACAGGGGCCCGGCGGCCATGCCCCGGCTGCATCCCGGCCGCCGAGCGGGCAGCGGCGTCCCGGGGCCGCGCGGGCACCGGCGAGNCCCTCCCTCCCTGCAGCGATCCTGAGGCCGGGCAGCCCCTACCAGAACCCTTATCCCCCTGCCACCCTGGCCCTGGCCAAGAAAGCCAACACTGGGGAACCCTAGGAATGGGACTCGGGCAGCGAGGGCGAATGCTCCCCAACCTCTGCCACCGGTCTGCACCGCCTGGCCTCCTCTTCCAATTTGCCCACACACCTCCTACTCCTTACTGGGGCTTGAAATTCCCTGCCTTGCCTTCCTGGGAATCTAAGAGTGAGTGATCAGCCACACAGAGTCACCACTGGGGTGTCTGTCCACACTGACCAACCACACCGATTCAAACATTTTCACCTTGGTCGGGGAAGAGGGGCTGTCACTTGTAGGAGGTCAGCTAAGAATTTGCCTAAAGTCAGAAAAGCAAGTATTCCCTGTCCTCTCTCCCAGCTCCCCCACCCTAGGGGAAGGGACCTTGATGCAGGGTCTGAGAGGGTCTCTATCCTTGGGAGGGGGAGCAGAAGGAAAGTGAAGGCTGAGGGCCAGAGGAGTAGGGACCATCTGGGCTGGCAGGATGAGACCCATAGAGAGCAGTGAGGTCACACTAAAGGCAGGCAGGAGGGCCTTGACTGTCCCATACAGAACCATGGGATTAGGCAGGGCCTTGCTCCTGATTCTACGCAAAAGACAATCGGATGCAGCGCCTGGAGCATCATCAAGAAGGGTGAGAGCAGGGATGGAAGTGAGCTGCACCCTCAAAGACATCCTCAACCTAAGTGAAGTGAAGTGAAAGTCGTCCAATCGTGTCCCAGTCTTTGCGACCCCATGAACTATAGAGTCCATGGAATTCTCTAGGTCAGAATACTGGCGTGGGTAGCCTTTCCCTTCTCCAGGGGATCTTCCCAACCCAGGGATCGAACCCAGGTCTCCCGCATAGCAGGTAGATTCTTTACCAGCTGAGCCACAAGGGAAGCCCTCTCAACCTAAAAGCAAATGAAAAACCAGTGCCAGGTTGCTTTTACTTCTGGATGCTGTTTCTAGAACAGATTTCTTCTTGTACCTGACTGTCGTGCTTTTCTGTGTGAGGCAAAGACCATGTCATGGAGTCTGGAATTTGTTAGGAGCTTGGAGGACTCAGAGACAGTGAAGGGAGGGATATAAACTCAGCTCCTCTGTGCCCAGGGCTCTCTGCTGCCAGCTGCCTTCCCAGCAGGGCGAGGACAGATAGTGTCCACGACAAGTGGCTACTGTCCACTCACGAGTTTGATGTTTTTAATTTCTGGCCCTTCTGCCTGTCTGGGTCATTGATCTGTCTTGGTCAGTAGGAGTCATGCTACACAATTTTGAGTTAGCTTCTTGGCCCTACAGCTAAACACTGGATATATGCCTTGTCTACCAGCAAGGCAGCTGCTTGGTCGATTGAACTCTCCACAGCCCTCGTATTTGAAATAGCAGGTCCCTACTCAAAAGACCTAATTGGCTTTCTCTGTCTTCTGCTGTCAGACGGTCCAGGCCTCCAACTTGTGGCTGGGCCCACCCACTCCTCATCACCCGCCTGTCTTCCTATAGGCAGGCCTTTTGCTTCCCAGGCAAGATCTTTACTAGTCACTTCTCTGGATCATTCCAGAGAAGCTCTCGGAAGACAGCACCAAATCTTGTTTCCAAGCTCCACCAGACCCAGCCAGGGCTCAGCATGCTGTAGGCCCACGCAGACACCTGAGCACATGGATGGAAGTTGGTGTCTGTAGCAGGATCAGCCCCAGGATGTGCACATTGGGATCACCATCAGGGACAGGTCCTGGCAAGGCTAGAGCCTCAAGACAAGCCTCAGGGAATTTGGCATCCCAGCACCAGCTGCCGTGGAATGGGGATCTGCCCAGAAAAGGGGCTCAGGGCCAAACTGTATGTCCTCATATTAGTATCAGCCAGGGGGGGTTCCTGTCTTGGGATATGACTGAACAGAATTTTACAAACCTCTGACTCGGAAGCTTCATTAAAAAAAAGAGAGAGAGAGACCATGAAAGAGGAACCAGGAACAGCCCTTTGCAACACTAAGAAAGATGCAAGAGGAGATTTAGCTCAGAGTCTAAAATGACAACTGAACACACATAGCTAATTTTACTGTCTCTGAAAACCCCAAAACTACCAAAAGAGATTTCCTGAAGATGAAAACCCCCCAAGGAGCTGCAGAACAGAGAAAAGACAACCACCAGCAAAATGTGGGAAGCAGGAAGACAAATGGACAAGAGGTGCTTGGCCTTGCAGAGCTGAGTCCTAACCCCATCATGGGGAGAGCTAAGAAACAGAACCTCCAAAGGCTTAGAGCCATGGGGCAGGTAACTGTGGGCCCCCCCCCAAAAAAAAAAAAAGGCAGCTAGGAGCAGTGATGATCTGTTTAAAGAGCCTCAGATCCTGGATGGTTGCCCACTCCAGATCACTGGATGGCTGGTCACCATGGAAGGGTATTCCTCGAGGAGGGTGAAGCAGGGGCTTTGTGGTCTGGGGGACTCCATGGTGACAGAGGGGTGTCCTTCACTCTGAAGGCTGAAAGCCCCACCCAGCCCCCATAGCACCAACATCCTCCAGGCAAGAGGCTAGAAAAGTCTCTTCCCCCTCCTGCGAATTTTTGGAGAAACCTATGGATGTAATTTTATTGTTTCCCAGCAGAGCCCTGAGCCAATCTCCCTAGAGAGAATCCCCAGTGGATAAGCCCACCCAAATCTCAGACCTTCCGGTAGCTCTGCAATCCCTTCCCCTAAACGTGAGTAGACAACCCAGGATTACCAGACATTGGGGGAAAGCCTTTGAGAGAAAGAGCCACCCAGGTGGGGACCTAGGGGTGTGGTGCACAACTTCAAAGAAACAGACATTAGGCAGGGAGGAGAAATAGACGTTTAATATCCTCAAAGACAGCAGATAAGATATTGCATTTACGAACCAAGAGCAGGATGCTATTTTAAGGAGAACATTTAGAGAACAAAAAAGGACTAGAAAATTAAACGTGTGAGAACAGAAACAAAAACCTCAATAGACAGGTTGGAAGATGGAAGGGAGGAGCTATCCCAGAATGCAAAGCAAAAAGACAAAGAGGAGAAAAATAAGAAAGGATGAAAGAATTAGATGACCAGTTCATGTGGCCTAGGACCCATACAAAAGTAACCCTTCTTTCCATTCCATCCTGCCTGAAAGAGTTATTTAATTCTATAAATTTCCCAGAAATGAGTTTCCAAGTTCTCAGTAGAGCAGATGGAAATTGACCCATATCAAGGCATATTATTACACAAAGAAAACAATGAAGAAAAAGAAAAGAGAAAGTGAAGTCGCTCAGTTGTGTCCGACTCTTTGTGGCCCCATGGACTGTAGCCTGCCAGGCTCCTCCCTCCATGGGATTTTGCAGGCAAGAATGGTGGGAGCGGGTTGCCATTTCCTTCCCCAGGGGAACTTCCTGACCCAGGGATCGAACCCAGGTCTCCCACATTCCAGGGAGCCACCAGGGAACCCCAAAGAGAAAGAAAGGCCTCCACAAGTTTCCAGGCTTCATAGAAAAGAGCAGAAGTCTTTTCTTCAGAGGTCTCAACAACAACAGAAGCTAATAGATAATGGAGCAGTGCCTTCAAAGTGCTGAAGGAAAATATTTTCTGGCCTAGAGTCCATTATGTAGCCAAATGAACAATCTAATGTGAGATTAAAATAACGATGTTTGCATGTGCAAGGTCTCAAACAAATTTACCTTCCATGTACCATTTCTCAGGAAGCTACTAGAGAATGTGCTACAATAAAACACGGGAGTAAAGCATGAAGGAGGATGACAATAGATAGATGAAACAATGGATCCAGTAAGAGAGGGAGAGAGGAAGGGAATTCCACAGAATCAGAGAGAAAGCAGATCGTAGGAGAGTAGCTGTCCAGATGAGAGCAGGGTGGTGACACGTTCAACTGTCCAATACATAGACCTGTGAGAGCTATCATCACTAAAATGCCTTCTGACATCATACCACCCTTTTAATGCCACATGCACCTGCCAGGTTCTTATCTGTACTTGGCCTGCTTGGGCCAGGTCATGACAGAATTCCAGCTCTCCTCTGCAAGCATGGCCCTGGTATAAGCTGAAGACACTCATTTCCCCCATCAGAAGTGTGCTCTTTTGTTTTATTAGAAATAGGATGGCCATGGTGAGCTAAGAAACATAAAATTCAGATCCATCTATTCCTCCACCCCCACGAACCTACCAGACATCCCAGCTGGGGATAGACCTCAGTTCCCCAGGGAGTCCCCATGGCCTTGCCAAGAGCTTTCTAGAACAGATGCCATGGTCCATTCAGGGCCAGTGAGTACACTGACTACCTAAAAAGGGCTCTAGTAAACTCCCAGGCAGCTGAGGCCAGTCCGTGACCCCCAAGACTATTCTCTTCTCTTCTCCCAGGCTTCTATGGGTAGCAGCCCAAAGTGGCCACAAACAGAAAGGATATCATGGCTAGCTCTCTATGTTAATCACCTTGCACATAAGATGATGATAAAACAATAATATGTTTGAAGAAAACACAATCCAAGGGGACTTCTTTGTCCCTGTCAGTCTTTTATGACCAACTGGTGGGCTGTTGGAGAGTGTACTTTACATCCATTACCAGGCTTCCTTGTTTGGCCATTTAATCCAACAGAGAAGGTTACTTAATGCAATCATAACCTCCTTGCTAAGAATGAATATTTCACTCTCTGTCTCTCTGTCTCTCTCTCTACACACACACACACACACACACACACAAACACACTCCAATATTTGTGTTACATGTAAATATATAAATAATATATATATCCACCACCATTGTTGGATATTCGGGCTTTCCCCTGGGCCACAGTCCAGGACGTGGTAGGATACTGTGAAGAAGTGCTCTCCGTCTTAGTGGTTTCCTGGTAGGGAAAGTTCCACAGGTCCTACTACAGTGAAGCAGATGAACCTACAGCCTGTTATACAGAGTGAA